GTGTGTGTGTGTGTGTGTGAGTGTGTGTGTGGTCGTGTGTGTGAGAGTGTGTGTGTGAGAGTGTGTGTGAGTGTGTGTGTGTCTGAGTGTGAGTGAGTGAGTGAGTGAGTGTGTGTGTGTGTGTGTGTGTGTGTGTGTGTGTGTACTTGTTGAAGAGCTGCTCTCTGGTGTCTGGTATGATGACGTCGCTGGAGCCATAGCTGGTGCTGAACTTTGACCTCAGAGAGCGAACAAACTCCTTATACTCCGCAGCACACACCTGTAACACACACACACACACACACACAGTGAAGTTTGAATCTATAGCCACTTCACGAATCAATGTAATTCATAGAGTCACGATCCAATTCCAAAACAATTCCAAAGTAGATCTTATTTTTTCCTATTGTTTACTCTGTGATGAAAATCCCAAACACAGTAACATCACACTTAACTTTGCTCATTCAGCTCTGATCAATAATTGAGTTATTTAATGTTAAGCCAGCTTCTCTTGCAATTTTTTAGGGGTGAAAAACATTAAAATACTTTAAAATAGAAACCAATTAAGATATTTGAGACCCAATTTTCTTAACAAAATTCTAAAACTAAATTTGGATTAACATGATGAAAAGCCTTTTACAGGTATCAAGAGAATGAAACACTTTTTGTGGACGTTCAGATACTGGAGAAGAAAATACCACTTAAAATCAACTGAGAAATGATTCAGAACAGTGGACTGATCCAGAAGCATAAGAGATCAATGTCTCACCTTCACATCATTATAGTCGCCAGTCCAGTTCATGAATTTGGCCATCAGCTCTTTATCCTGATACATCTCAGCCAGACAAATCCTGAAAACACAAGCATCAAGAGTCTAAACTGTGTGCTGTTACTCTGAGGTCAGTGTTTGTGTCGGTCTGCAGTCATTATAATGAACTGTACATGAACCAGCAGAAGTCTGTGACATGCGCTCGTGTGTGTGAGTGTGAGAGTGTGTTTGCACACACACACCTGTAGTTCAGGCAGGTCTGTGGGTTCTTCATGATGTAGCGTGCGCGTCGGCCGACAGACAGCGATGTTTTATCCAGAGATAACTCAAACTCAGCGTGCAGCACGTCACGCACCACCGTCCAGGGCACGAACGGCCTCTTCAGCTGCGCACACACACAGACAGACACACAGACACACGCACAGACACACGCACAGACACACGCACAGACACACACGCACAGACACACACGCACAGACACACACGCACACACACGCGCGCACACACACAGACACACGCACAGACACACGCACACACACAGACACAGACACAGACACAGACACACACACAGACACACGCACAGACACACAGACACACACGCACACACATGCGCGCACACACACGCACACACATGCGCGCACACACACGCACACACACACACACACAAGTGTGTTCACTAGCAGTGTTGGTGGTAACGCATTACAAGTAATCAGATTACTTTAACTAGTACAGTAATGCATTACTTTTTAATTTAGAAGGAAATATCAGTTAGTTTATTTTACTGACAGCTCTGGTGTTGCCATGGTGACAGAAATCAGGAGTAAGTGCAGAGTGTTGTGTGTGAACATGATCTTACTGTAGTTCTAGACTAAATATCAACATGTGTTTACTCATCTCACTGCACACAAACACATTCAGTGTTCCTCACAATCAATAAATGCAAACTCGGAATATTATACAAACCTGCAATAATTAAATATGTTAGATATAACAAATATCAATTATATATTTAATCCTATTTTATTAACCAGTGTCTTTGCTGCTGACCTTTGATGATCCAATTCAACCATTCTAATAAGCAAAAATCACACATTTGTTTCATTTTTGTTATTGCTGTTGAACTTTCTTCTCCTGCGTCATATTCTTCAAGTGATTAGTTTGAGCGGCACCCTCTACTGTACAGATGTGATTTTACATTTCCTTAAGCCTGGGGCGCATTCACTTCACTTTTGGTGTGAATTTTTTTTTTTCATTTGTAAAAAAAATTTATATTAAAAAATAACTAGCAAGCCCCACCCAGATTTTAAAAGTAACGCAAAAGTAACGTAACGCGTTGCTTTCCATTAAAAGCAACTAAGTAACGCAATAACTTTTTTTAGGGAGTAAAGCAATATTGTAATGCATGACTTTTAAAAGTAACTTTCCCCAACACTGCTGTATTAGTGTGTGAGTGAGTGAGTGAGTGAGTGAGTATGTGTGTGTGTGAGTGAGTGAGTGAGTATGTGTGTGTGCGAGTGAGTGAGTGAGTATGTGTGTGTGTGAGTGAGTGAGTGA